TAGCCCTGTTCCTGTAAACAATAAACTTGCCTCACACCGTGCTCCTGCCTCTCCCTAGCCTCTTGTATACTTGTATACAAGAGTATACTTGTATTTCAGCATTATCAGCATCAATCTTTACATATTCATAGAAACGGATTTAGTTAGTTGCTCAATTTTGGTGGGCGCCTACTTTCCATAAAGATAAATGGTATCGAATGCGATAACGTTGTATGCGTGTTTACAAAATTAACTTAGTATAATGATGGCACGTGGTTAGTTATTAGTAAATTAATTGTCAATATGATAAATTTATAGAATAATTAATTGGTCAGCAAGTGTGGTGGTATTACTTTAGATAAAGTGCATCCAAAAACTTGTGTTTTTTTAATTATATGGTTTTTGGGGTGTAGATTAAAAATCTGAAAAACGTTTTTGGCGGTCGGCATCGGAAAACCGATTTTTTCCAATTTTTTATATATTTTCTATAGAAAACGACAATGGGGACCCGTGGGGAACCGGGGGTTTTAGAGGGGGGGGGGGACACGCCGGAGGCTCTAATTCGTCAAAAGAAAAATCGGGCAAAAATCGGCGAAAAATTTGAAAAAAAATCGGAAAATATTTTTTGACTGGAAATGATCTATATCGATCTGGGAATGACTGTAAACCTATGTAGAACCCATAAATACCCATAGGCCTCTTGGGGAAAGGCCCGTGGTATATAAATTATGGCCTTAACGCGCCTAAGCTGCAACCTCCTGGGTGGTGCGGAATAGCAGCCTACATCCTAACTTAACCTAGCGCGATTTTTGGGTTTTACATAGGTTTACAGTCATTCCCAGATCGATATAGATCATTTCCAGTCAAAAAAAAAAATTTCCGATTTTTTTTTTTAATTTTTCGTCGATGTTGCCGATTTTTTTTTTTTTTTTTGACGAATTTGAGCCTCGGGCGTGTACCACAATGCTAAAAATCAACGTGGCAATTACTTACTCGGTTAGCTTGCTCAACTGACATTCACCCCCTCCCCCCCTAAAACCCCCGGTTTCCCCATTGTCGTTTTCTATAGAAAATATATAAAAAATCGGTACCGCCAAAAACGGATTTCAGATTCTTAAGCTACACCCCAAAAAACATAATTAAAAAAAACGCCCTTTTTTTGGATGCACTTAATCTAAAGTAATACCTGTGTGTTTGTACTAATCAAAACAAATTAAAGAAAATTTTTAGTAAGTGTGAGGAGTATTATTATATATTTAAATAGACAATAGGTGTAATAAATTCGTGACAAATGCGTAAATTCATTATCGGCATCAAAAATTGATATTTCGGCTCGAACATCCGACATTGGCTTATGAAACCATTTTGTAGATAAAGTTTCAAGGACAAAATTAACTAAAATATAAAAAAATTACTATTTCCAAGTGTTACGGATAAAAAGTTTATCTAATCAGTGCAGTAATGTCGCAAATGGAAATATTTTAACTTGTGGTCTCCGGCGCAAGTCAATATGCTCTACTAATTTCAATGTAAAATAAAACACAAATACAATTCAATTGTGAAGAGCGCATATCATATATCACTACAGCAATTGACGAAGAATGATCAGTTGTGGAAGATCAACTCAACTTTAATCAATATAAGACGTGAAGAGTACTTATTTTGTTCGTTAATGGCAGTTTGCATAGTTGAACATATAGTCCAGCCGTGGGAGTTTTTTTGAGTGTAGAACAGTGGTTCCCAAACATTTTCAGCTTGGCGCCCCCTTTGGCTCCCCAGTGAATCTCTAGCGCCCCCCCCCCCGACAGACGCATAAAAACATATCATGCTCGTGAAATTTTTTTAAATTTCACCTTCGGAATTATTTGGCGATACGGGCCGAAATTCGCAGTGATCAAAGAATTNGATATTTGTGGGAGGAGATAGATTTTCTAAAGTACCCCTTTTTAGCCGTTTTCTATGAATTTCACGTTTTCTATCAATTTTTTCGAAAAATTCATAAGAGCAAAATGTTTTTTTTACATTTTACGTATGTATGTGAAGTTTCATGACAATCGGATAATAACTGTAGAAGTTTTCGTATGCTAGGGCGGTCCCCTTAAAGTTCACGCACGTCGCAAACCTAGACGGAATCGAAAAAAACGATCGGGCCATAAACATCAACGTATATGGTTCTAATAAACGCCTGTGCTACGTTTCATCGAGCAGCGTTCGCTTGGGAATAATTGTTTTTCGTTTGAGAAAAATTTTACGTTCAGTGCAAATTTTCTAATCGGCCACAGAAATGCCGGTAGCTTCTCCGTACAGCCGTGTAACTCGTGGGTGAAGACTTAATTGAAAATTTTTGCACGAGCTAAACATCAGCGATATGCGATTAGGAATGCATATTCAAAGTTTCCTACAAATGTGTTTTGTAGTTAAGAAAATAATTCACTGTGAATTTTGACCTGTTAGAACCGAAGGCAAAATCTGAAAAAAACAATCACGACCTTTGCAAGACTGACGGTAGTTGAAATAGCTACTAGGCTTCCACCAGGTTCGATATAGTGCTAGGCATTTCAAGTCTGAACATATATTTTTCCAATACTTTATCTAGTCTGTTCTTGAACGCGTTCATACTTGGAGCGCCAACGATGACATCGGGAGGCTGTTCCACATGTCGGTGTTTCGAAGCGAGAAGAAATGTCGCGTGGATAAGTTGCAGCTCAGTTTTTTTTTTAGTTTATAGCCGTGCCCCCTGGTGTTGCCCGTTGCCCCCATCGTTGTTTAATGAATGCAGGTGCAGCATTTCTTGGAGCTGCGTTCCTTAGTTTGAGAGATATTTTTAGTTCACTGAAGCTTTGAGAAAGCCATTGGCCTACTTCGTACAAACCATTACGAATGGACAGCCATGGAGGTGCGCATTTATCATACAAATTCCTCGCTAAGTGGTATCTAAATTTACACTGATTGATGTCACGCATGGTGGAAATGCATGTCAGTAGCTAACGGGCAGGAGTATTCGAGTTTCGGCAAGAGGACCTCAAAACCGTCACACACGGTGATAAATATTCCCTTTGAGTTCAATCGATTACATTGTAATTTCTTAATCTCACAAATTAACTTATTTAAAAATAAAGCTATTTTTATACTTAATTCAGGACTGCAACTTACAAAAGTCAAAACCAAATCTGCAAGTGGCTCAAACTTTTGAGCCAATTGCGATCTGATGAACAGTTGAACACTCTTTCGACAGGACTGTTGGTCGCTTGCATTCCTGGCTTCAAGTTTATTTGCGTCCTGCAGATATGTCAACGAAATAAATTTTTAGTGAGAATCACATAAGACGGAAATAAATACGGTATAAAATTTAGCATTTAATAAATAACACAATTATATCAATACACTACCGATTGAAAAAAATAACAGAGTATGGACTTCGCCATAACAATAAATTGAAGATTCGGTAAAGCAAATACGTTCACAAAATAGACCCCCCTAAAAAAAGAAGAAACTCGTTTACTTTTCTCCAGGCACTGTACCTATTACAGGTTATATGCAATGTTATGTTTTCAGAATCAACATCAAATATGACTTAACAGTATTCCCATGGAGCATGAATAGACAGGAGACAACGATAAATTTTTACATTGAAATAAAAAAGAAATTTCAGTAAGAATTTCGAAAATTTAGCAGTAATTTAGTTAAAAATAGGTGCTTTTTGCACTGATTGCAAATTTATCGCAACATTCAGTCATAACTTGAATATTTCTTACTGGTAAAATAGTAAAACATAGAGAAATTATATAAAATGAAGTGCATTGTAAACCAAGTATTCACTGAACACTTTCGGAGCAGAATGCGTGGAATGAAGAGTTACATGTGGAACAGACGAGAAGAGAGCTAATCAAACGAATTTCCAAACCTGATGGCATGAAGCTATTGCGATCACACCAAAGGAACCGGCTCGCTGCAGTATTTGCTAGGTTTTATCAACTTCCATGGGTAGTAACGATTAAGGTTAAGAAAATCTAACCTACTATGTTGTATATAATCCTAGTGATTTTCAAGCTTCATGATGGAGCTGTTCAAAGTATTAAAGAGGAATGAGAAATGTGTGAAAATTAATTAAAATAAAATCGTTCAGCTGAAATTTGTACCAATCAAAATCCTTTTGTAGACAAGCCACCAATAATAATGAAACTAAAGTTGACACCCCATGAGCGATTAATAAAATTGGAAGAACAGTCACTTGGCAAACCACAGCACAACAAGTTGGCAAATAAATATAAATTAAGCAAAGATGAATGGCTCACAATATCAACCATATAAATGTTCCAAGTTGCTAAATGGCAGGTATTATTTACACATGAAACAAAGGACTCCAGAGCCTATTATAGCTACTAGTCTTTTGGAGAATTTGTTCACATCCGAACGGCACATCTCTGTATGTAGTGACTGCGTTGTACTGAATAATTCAATTAAGGACGCAGCTAATTAAATAATAAAATTTATTGATATAATTACACATAGTAATTTTAATACATCGATTCTCCTTCACCAACATGTTTTATGTATTGAAAACTTACAAATTATGGTTTTAGTATAGAACAACACTTTAAATGAAAAAATGCAACTATTGACTCGAGTTTGACTAATCTTGTTCCTACTGCCACATTAGAATAAGTTTTTGGCAAGTTGAACATTGATGACAAATACAGGTTAGTTTCACGATTGATTATTAAAATAACTGAACTCAATGCTTGACCTGCCACAGCATCCAATACCATGCAAAGAGATATAACAAGAATGGCAAACACAAATTAATTTGTCTTTTTCATCTCAACAACAAAGAAAATAGCAATGAAGGACATCAAAATAAGAGGATAAACACTAATATTAAGTGATCATTATTTTGCAGCGGACTAGGGATATCTCTGTCCAGGCCTGGTTGCAAACCAGATGCAATTGTTTCAAAATTGACTACAAAGTAACACCAACAATGAAGTTGTTGGTGTTACTTTGTAATATAGGTAATAATATAGTAGCTGAAGTATGTGCATCAACTTCAGCTACTATAGCCATGCAGAGACAAGGGCCATGGTCATCACTTTCTTATTTACAGCTGAAAAGTCTCACAACAAAGATCTTCTAAAAATCATTACACAGAATGTTGATATCTCAGCCTGTGCTCTTAGTTGCCGTAAGCTCCATCACAGGCACTATAGTTTGGACTTAAATTCCTTCCTCTGTGACTGAAGATGTAGAAAGAGGGTCGGTTACCTGCAGTCTCCCACGTCCTGAAAAACGGCACAAATTTCATCCTTGTATACTACAACCTAATCAATATGTACTTCTTCTGAGGAAACAGAAATAAACTGAAGAAAAAAATTTAATTCATCACTCAGATTAATGTCTGTAACAATGTCGTATCACAAAATTAAATAAATCTTTTTATAAAATTAAAATTTCAACATGAATTAAAATTTTCAATAGCCCTTACTTGTTTTCTAGCTGAATGTTTGCTCTGATCTCTCGAAAGTCCCCAACAATGTGAACAACTCCATACATTGTCACAATGAGGCTCACAAGGCACTGGACAAACACCTGCAAATTACAACAAGGAAATTTAACACTGCAAAAAGTGCAAACAAAACAAGAATTTTGGATTGAGAGTTCATTAAATATTTGAAGCAAAATAAAAACATTCAATCACTAAAACTAAAATAAGAAACCACATGCTTTCCAGTACCTATACAGAAACTTATTTAAGAAGCCTCTTTCAACCGAGATACCGGTACTGGTACATGCCAAATGATGTACAGGTTTTAGAAGCCAGTTGGCTGTTGATTTTTTGACTCTCATTTTTGAGAATTATTTTTAACACATCAAGTGCGGCTATGTCACATTCGGGGCATATTTTGTACTGGTGATACAACTCACTGGCTGGGCTGTGCTGCACTTAATGTGTTGGGACATTGATTCTGACAGTAATGGCATGTCAACAGCAAAAGATCATCATAACAACAAATCAACAATGTACTCACATCAGTAGGTAATGTTGAATACTCTTGCTCAGTAATTCTAATGAAGCGTCGATCTGGAATTAAAGGGAAAATATCAGTACAAGAACATCCCCTTTAACCTAATGATAAATTTGAATATCCATTAAATCTTATATGGTAATGAAATCACTAATGATCATCAAGTTTCAAATTAGTCAAAAGTATGAATATATATTTCATACAGCACTCTGCAATACATATGACTCCATTAGATTTTATAGTACCTCTGCCACCTCATCATCCATTTGGAGCTTCTTTCCACAAATGATACTATTAGTCAAGGCAAATGAGTAAAAATTTCAAATATTAATAATAAATACAAAGAATAATTATTGATCAAAGTAAATTATCTGATCTTAGCTTACAGTTTGCTGTACCTGTTCATCAACACTTAATGCAAGTCAGTTCCAGAATGAATTTTACCTCTAGAGTTAACACCACTGGAGTTAAGTCTACATTGATAGATAGAGGTGAGACAACAATTGATTGACACCATATCAATCACCATGTCATGACACTATGTCAATCAATTATTGGTTTGATTGGAAATCATATGGCTTGCAAATGGCATTCCCACAAAATTTGACACTCAGCAGTTCAATGGTAATCCTACTCAAAATTTTGGTACCAAAAATGTTTTAACTGACACTGTCATAGGTACTTCCACTCATGTCACACAGCTTTTCAACAATAATGAAACTACCACGCATGATGTATCTCCAACAGAGAAGAAAAAGAATGTGTAAACCAGTTAACTCCCAAGTAAATAAAAATGTTTTTGTTGTTATTTTTAATCTAAAGTTAGAGATTTGACATGAGGCCCCAGATTCTGAAATGGGTTAAAAATGTCACTATGGAGCCATAAAATTTCAGTGATAAGTAGGAATCTTCCAATCCTGCACCACATGTGACCACAATCATGCCTTTTGTTAAACCTTGAATTGCTATGCACTATGCAGGATCTTCCTAACTTCAGAACACAATCTCAGTGTTTGTGACAAGTTAAACTCTTCTGCTTGATATAACTCCAATTTCCCAAAGATCTCAATATAGTAATTAGTCAGTCATCAGGGATAAAAAAAATTACACCAATTATTTTCTTTTTTTCAAATGGTCAAGCTCCCCAAAAGTTGACTATCAAATTAATTAGGATCTGCAATTTCAATGTTAAATTTTCACTTTCTTGAAAATCTATTCTGAATCTAAAGAAGAGCTACTCCCCTACTGGCATATGATAACTAAGACTATGCATATGATAACTAACTTTAGCTAGCTAAGAAATTGCATTGCACTCAAAAATTGAGAGCTCACAAATAGATCATTGAAGTGATTGAACTACCAAAATATCTCACATACAGTATATATATATAAAATAAAATAAAACTTAAAAACTCTGAAATTACAACCAAATTAAATCTGACATGATTACACCTTAGTCAAATATTAAAACAATGAATAGACATCTTCTAGGCAATGCTGCAAACTGCAATGATAGGCATGAAATAAAGATGTTTAATTTTCAACTAGAACTTTCCAAGTTCCAACTATTTTGGCTGCCATATTTTGGATTCTCATCATATCATCTCTTATTTAATTGTTAACAGCTATCTAATAACAGGAGTGTACATTGTACAATCAAACTACAGGATTCCTAAGTTATCAAGTAACTTAATGACTAGAACTTTCCAAGTTCCAACTATTTTGGCTGCCAGATTTTGGATTCTCATCATATCATCTCTTATTTAATTGTTAACAGCTATCTAATAACAGGAGTGTACATTGTACAATCAAACTACAGGATTCCTAAGTTATCAAGTAACTTAATGGCCTTCAAGTTAAAGTGGCAAAGCAGGTTTTTTTTTACTCTCCCTCAACCTCAAGTTCATTTTAGTGTCCTGAAAGTAGATCAGCATATTCACTTTATTTTCACCTGTATTTTCAAAAATCAGTTGTGAAACAGCCATTTTTACCTACAATTTTAGGTATAATTCTGATCTATATTCTAAACTGGGTCCAAACTCTAAGTCTAATGACAGTCTTGTCTCTTGACTCTTGAATTATAAATATGTAGCTTCAGTAGCAGAAATTTCCTAAAATTATGGGTAAAAACCATTGTTTCGCAGGTAATTTTCAAAAATTAAAGGGTAAAATAGGCCATTTTTCTTTTTTTCTAATTTCTACTCCAACTCCACAGACCACAGAGGAAAGTGAAAAGTTTAGGAAATTTTAACAGACTAACAGCAACAGGTGAAACTGTGAACTTGACAAGAAGACTTGCTAGCTATTGGCATTTTTTTGTGATTCAGAGCCTCAGAGGTGCATTGAACTGACTTCTCCCTAATTTTTCAGTTTAGTTCCAATGTGAATGAGCCAGAAGGCAAAAGCTCAATAGTTAAAACTGCATAGTCCATAGCATAGTGGCAAAGGAGAGAGTTTTTTTAGACTCTCTCAAGTTCATTTTTGAGTCCTATATATAGACCAGTAAAGTATCCTGGATACCTGCATTATCATACATAAGAAATTGGTTTGAATCGTGAGTAGGTAAATGAAGAAATTAAAAATGAACTGATTCTAAAAAATCTGTGGTTTGTCACTATGGTCCATAGTGGCAAGGAGAAAATTTTTGTTACCCTTTCTCTCATTCATTTTAGAGTCCTACAAGTACAAGTATGAGTAGGTAGACCTGTCACCAGTAAAGCAGTAAGTAGGTAGCCTATCAAGTAGGAAGTAGCTATCAAGGGACATTGGGACAAGGATATTGGATAAGAATATTAAAAATGAACAGATTGGATGGATTGATAGGCAGTCTCGGAGTTTTTTGGCTTGTTTACACCTCATTAATATGACATTAATATAAAATTCTATCTCGGCAACTGGTAGTCTGGACTCTGTAGTCTGGTACACTTTTTAAATTCTCCTATTACCTACCTGCTCTAGCCGTCTAGCGTTCTAGCCGATAAACTTACGTTGAGCAGCTGAATATCCGCCATGAAGTAATGATACAAAACCAAAAATGAATAGGAATTTGTAAACAGCTTTGGCCATACTGTAGCAGAGAAACATCTGATTTACTATTTCCAGTAACTAGAAACAATTATTCCCAAGCTCAAGCTGAAAAATCGTACAAGATTTCTGTTATTTGGCGGTGTCTATTAAAAAGTCCAGTACCTAAAATACGGAAAGAATTTTCACAGTTCCCAGTAAAAAACGACTTTCTTGGCTCACTCTATTGAATTAGGAATTTGAATAATTAACGGGTTAATAATCACTTTATATCAGTTTTATGACATATATTATGGATAGTGAATCCAATATGGATACATGACTTCAATATAATTGGATATCTTAAATGCTCATAATTCATATTTTTTTTTGCATAATTCGTAAAAAACTTACAAGTTATCGGATAAATCAGAACATTTTGAATGAATTCTTTCCTCAACTGTGGCAACTTCGAGACATATGAAAATAATTTTATTGTTGAATGACAACATGATAGCATATGCTGATGGCAACATTCGAGCCAACAACTGTATTCTATCAATCTTTTTCACGGCATGTGAGCAGAAGAGTTCGCAGGTTTCCTGATTCAGCGCTGATTATCGTAGGTAAGTGAATATTACGCGTGATTGTTGTACCTATACAGTCAAGTAATTTTATAAATTGAAGTTATAATTTTATATGGTGGATTTTTCAGGAGCTCTATTAGTGTTGTAAGTTGTAAAATCGTACGTACTACGCTGAAACGTTGAGTATCGATGACGATGTGTATACCGGTTAACTTAGGATCAATCGTTTCTGACAAGATTTATAAGTAGGCTAATCGCTAATGCTGCTTGTTTTGCTAAGCAACGTTGATCATTTGATGGCGTAGCCTATTTAGAATTGATTTGTTTGAAAACCTTTCTTGGAACGCAAGTTTTTTATCAACTGAATATTAAAGTATATTAGGTAGATGGAAGATTTGCTTTAAAATTCTGAAATGTGATGCCTATTGAATGGCAAATCTGAACCTGATTAACTTGAGAAATTGAATTTTAAATGGCTCTAATTCTTGAACAGAGGCTAAGCTAAGCAGACTAAACTAAAGCATTTGATGATGCTTAGGCCTATTAGGATAGTTGCCTCTGCTGCTCTGCATTGTTATTGTATCCCTACACTACAGACTAGGCCTAGTGAGTGAGACTAAGACTACAGTCACTACACTACAGTAGTACAGTTAGCTAATATAGGCTTAGCTACTTAGTTAGCTACTTCAGTATTTTCTTTAGCATGCCTAAACCATTAAAATTTACATGCATTGGCTTAGGTATAGCCTCTAGGTCTAGGTCAAGAAGACAAGAACCATGGTATAAATTTGTTATGGTTCTTGTTCATTTAATAACAACTTGTTTTTCCCACAATAGCCTATTTTCATTTCCTTTACTCAATTGTTACAATCAACTAATTCGTCATTACTATTGCTTACAGCTTTTCTCATAGGGTAAACGCGGTATGGTATATTCTGACATTGTGGGTAATTCCGACACTTCTTGATTTTTTTCCTTTGTATTAAGCTTTTTCTTAGTTCCATCACTTCCATGCATTTGTTGATGGCTGAAATAGTGACGTCATACTTTAGCACGCCATACTATTGCCAAAACACTAGGACTGGGCCGTCTGGCGGGAAAATCTCGAGATCCAAAGAGACACAGTGCGCGTCACCCAGTGAGAACATTGAAAAATGTGTCAAAGTTGATAGTTGACCTTGCTCTACCAAATAGGTAGTGATAAACTGTTTCAGTCTGTTTGTGTAGAAAGAATATTATGGTTTGAGACTTTTAAATACGTCTGTAAATATGTTAGGAATCCTTTAAGCATACTTGTATTTGCTGATTTCAAGTGGTAAAAAAATTAATAGATGATTAAGTTAAAAGATGGTTTTAGACACATAAAAACTAATTCCGACACAGTTTGGAATTAGACACACGCAGCTCGTTGGCAGCCTCGTTCCAAGCTGTGTGCCAAAATTAGAAATTTTTTAATTAAAAGCTTAATAGCTCTTAATTAAAAGCCTAATTAAGGAGTGTTCAATATTCAATAGGGTTCTAATTCCAAGCTGTGTCATATTCCAATACAGCTCACAGCCTCACACAGCGATCGGAATTCAAACACAAGAGTGTCGGCATTACAAATTAGTTGAGTTTGAAGCGCGGCCGGAATTAATCTCACAAAATGGCGAATTTAGTCACAGTGTCAGAATATATGGATTTTGTAGGTTTGCATTCTAAAGGCTTTTAAATAAATATGGCAACATTTTGAGGTGTTTCATTGGTGCTGGCGTGTAATGCGGTCAGCGGTGTTTTGGGAGTGACATAAAGCAAACAGAACTTGACACAAAGTTCTATAATCCTACCCTGAGTTACATCCCTTTCCACTATTCACTCACCACTCCTCTTATAAGTTTCATTCAGAATCATTGCATCCCACCATCAGATCACAATCATTTCATTTTTCACCCACCATCTTATTAAAAAGAAATTTGGGCAAAAGCCACAATTCACAAATGAAGGAGACAATCTTTGATGGTGGAGAATTTCAATTGTTCCTATTATCTTTGTCTGATTAGGCCTACTCATGTATGTAAAAAAAAAACAAGAAAAATGCACAATTTTGCCTGTGATGTGTCAAAGATGCCCTTGAAAGGGATTTTGATCTCTTTGATTGTTGGAAAATTCTGACATTTCATTACAAAAACTACTCTCTAGTCTTTACCATCATTCCATCTTTAATGTCCTTTTACTTCCTGCACTGTTGACATTGAGTTAGTAGGCTATGAAATATTTGCTCAGTGGTAGGCTAGGTCACCACTGAGCAAATAACATCTATGCACATAGAACATATTTGTGCAAAAACATTACTTTCAATACCAGGCATTGATAGCACTGGCAGTACAGTAATGTTAATTTGTAAGGGTGGACACAGCAGCTAGTTCAGTATGTAATAATGTTGCTGTTGTAGCCTACTTGGCTACATTTTTTCTGTAGCTAAGTAATGGGGAATGGCAACTAGATCAATGTGGATAATATTATACAATTTAATTTTGATATAAATTGACTCTTTTATATAATCTATGATATACTGTCATATACAGAGGTATCCACTTTAAACTAAGTACCATTTTATTTGATTTTACAAAAATGTGTTGAAGTTGAGTTGGTAGTAGATTAAAAGTTGTGAAGCAAAGTGATTTACATACTAACATTCTTTAATCTGTACTGAAGGTACATGTTTTGTGCTTGAACTTTCCTTTCCTTACTTCCAATTAGACACAGGGTCTACATTGTTTTTATTCCCATGAAAAAAAAATTGAATTACATAAGTATACTGCAAATTTTCAATACCTTATTTATAAATGATGCCTTTTTAAGTAAAAAATTAATTTTGGCTAATTTGTCACTTTTGAATTGTGACAATGTTTTTCTTGGCAAAGTTGTTGTAAACCTAATGGCTGCTGAATTGAGTAATGTAATTTGTTAACATCTGTGTTGAAGCATTTTCTTTCTTCTTGCAGCTTATTTGAAGTGCCCTAGTCATCTCGATCAGGAAAAAGTGAGTATCTGATTCGATTAGATTGACTGCTCCTGTCTTTGATTGAAGCAATTGTTGCACTAGATCAAGATTTTTAAAAAAGTTAATTTGAAAACTTTGTTTTTACTTTCAAGTGTCCACTAAATTTAATTGTAATTCATATGCATTTATTTTTGATTTCTTTGTTACTAGGGTATATTTACATTGGTAAGCAACTTTTGGTCCAAAGGATTTTTTTTCATTTTCAAATTGCAATAATAATGTTTACTGCCTTCATGAAAATAGTCAGTGTATTGAAATGATGCTTTTCAGATCTAATGTTCATTTGAGAAGTTCAGTTGAATGTATTGAAGCATTTCAGGGGCATCTGCAACGTCTTGAACATGATTCTGTATATAATGGCTGTGATTTTTTTTTCTAATCAAATCAGTAGAGGTTGATAGATAGTTAAGTGGAATTTGGAAATTGAACATGATGATATGTTTAAAATGGAGGCTTTATACTTTATTTTATAATTCAGGTGAAACTTGAAGGAAATGGCATCAGCAGCAGTTGCTTCTCATGAGAAGGATGTGTTGAAGAAGGGAGTGCAGGAGTCACAGCAGCAGATCAGAAGGATCCGCATCACGCTCACCTCCAGCAATGTCCGCAGTTTAGAGAAAGGTTAGTTTGCCTTGTGTTAGAACAGTGGTTCCCAAAGTGGGCGATATCGCCCCCCTAGGGGCGATGGAAAGATTTTGGGGGGCGATAAGGAAGAAGAAAACATCACCGTTAGGTTCTGATGAATGCGTGTTCCAAGTTTAGTAGAGCTGCGTTAATTTGTTTTGGAGATATTTTCTTGATAATTGAATTTGGAGATTGGTCGTGAGACCGGCCACGAGTCCGGCCGTAAATTCGCCCGAGACGTCCTAGGTTTCTTGTGCGGGAACAGTTAAAACAGCTGAAAAACATATTGGTTCACTAAATGGGGTTCTAGTTGTGAAATACACATTTGTGTTTAACCTTTATCTTTTAAAATTTCAGCGTACTAAATTTCAAGAAAATGGCGTATGTCTGTGGGGGGCGCTAGAAATTCACTAGGGGGCCAAAGGGGGCGCTAGCCTGAAAAAGTTTGGGAACCACTGTTAGAATAATGGAGGAACTCTCTAGAAACCTTTTGAGAATTGGAATTGATTTATAATTTGGTTGAGTGCCTAAAGTTTTTCAAATGCATGTTGAATATTGAGAGGGAGTTTCAATTAACTGAATTTGTTTTAATCATTTTGATTTAATGAGTCTTTTTAAGAGTTTTTATGTGATGACTAAATAATTGTGTTTTTTGTTGAGGATTATTCCTGCTCCCATGTTGCAACTGTTACAATTTGGATGTCAGTCAATTGCATTATTCAATAATAGGTATTGATGCAAATTGTTTATTTTATTATAATGTCAACTAAACTTAGTTTAGTGAAGACTTTTTACTAGAAATATCAGTACATGGATAATCTTGGGCTAGAGAAAAAGATTCCAACTGCCACATTCTTCCCAATATCAAGGCATTTGTACACGGGGCTATCATTAGCTGTTAGTATATGCTGCAGGTTATTCCACATGCCCAGTTTTGCCAGCTGAAAGCTTATTCACAACGCAAGTATTTGGTAAATGGTATTTTTTCATCTGCAAGTGCAGTGCGTCATTGTAAGCCTTCAATCTAGAGCTGTGCATGGTCGAATATGGAATAAAGAAGGAAGAGTTTAATGGAGGTGTTAGGAGAGCATTTGATGGTGTTTGAAAGGGCATTTACTGGAGTTGTTTGAGGAGGCTTTTGATGGTGTTTGAGGAGGCTTTTGAGGAAGGTGTTTTATGAGAGATTTGATTAAGGTGTTTGAGGAGGCTTTTGATGAAGATGTTTTAGGAGAGATTTGATTAAGGTGTTTGAGGAGGCTTTTGATGAAGGAGTTTGAGGAGGCTTTTGATGGAGTTTGAGGAGGCTTTTGATGGAGTTTGAGGAGGCTTTTGATGAAGGAGTTTGAGGAGGCTTTTGATGAAGGAGTTTGAGGAGGCTTTTGATGAGAGAGTTTGAGGAGGCTTTTGATGAGAGAGTTTGAGGAGGCTTTTGATGAGAGAGTTTGAGGAGGCTTTTGATGAGAGAGTTTGAGGAGGCTTTTGATGAGAGAGTTTGAGGAGGCTTTTGATGAGAGAGTTTGAGGAGGCTTTTGATGAAGGAGCTCTTGCTGAGCATATGAAAAACTTAAAAGATCAGCGTAGAGTGTGGGCGAGAGACCTAATAAGCTCTTGTTTAAGTTTCAATATAACTCGAAATAAGTACTTGAACATATTAGCTAATTGAATCTATGCATTTATTGTCTACTCAAATTTCAATTTTTAGGTGATAGGTTTTTATGCCTTCTGGGTGTACAGGAATGTTGCACTCACTGCAATAATGCATGGTCATCGCAGTTATTGCAAGGATTTTTGCCTTTGCAATTCCTATGTTTCTGACTGCTGTACTGCACTGCATTCACAACCGGCATTGGAACTGGATCTGGTTTAACCTCAGGTTTCCTATGTTTAGTTTTTTATATATTTCCATCTAGACCCAAATATTATCCAAAACTCAGGAATGACTACCACAATATGGCTCAACATGTTGCAGAGGCACATCAAACGAGCTTATTGCCCCAAGTTTGAACCCAAATCTTACTCGTTTCCTACTAATATATTGATTATTTTTTATTACTAACATAGTCTTTCATAATATGGGGCTTGGATTTCATTAATGCAGTTGTATTCACAACATTTCTCATCTTTATTAGCATTGCTCGAGAGTTCAGAATGCAGATCGCCATCCATTTCCATACAATCATTGACGTACAAGCATCTCATTATTTGATCAGAGGTATCTCGGGTCGTTGAATTCGTTCCTAAGTTATTTTGGGTGTCGGATAACTCGCTACAATACAGACTACTATGATGAACTTTATGTACCTTGAGGAAATGAAAATCCCAAAAGGGACCTTCACGTTTTCTCTATTCATATCACTAGTTGGGAATTCTTTCCCTTGTTACCGTGAGACTCTATTTCAAAACACTATATTCGTAATATTGAGAAGTTTCATTTTTCTCACGTGGCAAATATACTTGCCAACCAGCGATAATGGGAGTGAACTGCTTGAGACGCAATTGCATCAGCTACTTGCAAATGAAAATTCAATCACTATATTTGGAGTGGAAATACTTGCAGCTAATACCAGCCCCGTGTATAAGCATCTGTATGGAGACCTAGGGCTTATTCTTGCGCATTGTAATGTTTGCTTATATTTGGAGCGATGGAAGTAGGATTAGTGACATCTGAATTGTTGGGTGTTGCACTTGATGGAATATTAACTTACATGCTCTTAGGGTACGCACACAGTGAAAGCAGGTTGCCAGCGTGCTGGTTACCTGCTCAGGCTGGCGCCTGAAACCATAGAATACAGAAGCCTATTTGAACAGGTTTTCACTGTGAACACTTGCATTATTATCCTATGTTCATTCTTGTGGCAGGTTGGAGCAGGTTGCCCGCGCGTGCAAACCTGATTTTACTGTGTACGTACCCTAACGGTCTAACCCAATGCAATTACTTACAGTTTGCTCAGATCTGGTGCGCGGTGCTAAGGAGAAGCACCTCAGGGTGCACGGTCCTATGCGCATGCCTACCAAGACCCTGCGCATCACCACAAGGAAAACCCCGTGTGGTGAAGGCTCCAAGACCTGGGACAGGTTAGTCATTGTAGTCAATTTGACTAGAGAAAGCTTCTAGGTAGTCAACCGCCAACGTGAAGAATGAATAACACGGATATCTAATGTGGTTGGTCAATGAAATTAAAACGCCTTTTAATTCTATGGTGGAGATTGCATGGCTAAATTGGATCAGTCTGGTGGTCAATATTTTATATTTGCACATTGTGCCAGTAAGAGGTGGATGTGAAAGTTCAAGCTTAGTGGTTCGATAACAGTTGTGGTTAAGATTTGCTGCAATTCCGTGGTTCAAACCTAGTTTCGTATCGTAATGGTGGTGTATCACGATGACAAAAAAAAAACGCTAAAGGCGGCATAACAGGTTTGAGATAGGTTTGAATATTATGGAAATGAAGTTTAACCTCGGCAATGGCCTGCGGTCATCTTATCTAAATATTTTTGAAGAATTGTGGGGTGTTGGATTATGTGAAAAATATTTTCTTCGCCAGCATCTCGTAGTTACCCGACACTTCTTCTGAAAGAATTGTTTAAAATCTCTTTCCGCTGTGCAGGATTTAATCAAAGCTGCTGTTTAAGCAAAATGATCTCTTGCACCGTGCATATAAACTGGTTAAAGCCATGTGTTACCATTTCATTGATGACGAATGTAGTTCTCTATGAAAATTGTTTAAACTAGTTCTAATTTATTGCAGTCAATGAATAGCAAAATTGTTCGTGTAATTGTTCGCAGTCCACAGTGTGAACAGTTTTCTTGTTCAGTTGCTCATCAGCGAGTTGTTGAACTTATATAATTTCTTGGCATACAGGATGCGTCTGGCGACAATTCAACCGGAAACTTCTGTTTTTGTTTATTGGCGGATAGCTTGAATGGTAGTCCACATTTAGCTAGGGTGTTGATGTACGTCAAGTATAGTACGAAATTATTTGGAAGATATTTTGTTATCCCGCTCTAGGGATAGTCATTTTCCACGCTTAGTAGTCTGTATGTTACGACTATCCGAAATGTTAATCATTTAATTTCTTATTTTGGCGACGCGGCACAAATTCGTTGATACGATGACTTGAGTGATTAGTTATTTAGTACTCTAGATGAATTCTGAAATGACGGGTCACTTTTGACAGGTACCAGATGCGCATCCACAAGAGAGTGATCGACCTCCACTCCCCTTCTGAAGTGGTCAGGCAGATTACCAGCATCAGCATCGAGCCTGACGTTGATGTCGAGGTCACCATTGCCGAGTAATTCTCGCTCAGTAAATGGTTAACGAAATGTCTTGCCTCGTTACTATCCATTACTTTAAATTCAGGGTGTCGAATCTTGAAGCCATGTACGGTTTTTGAGCGTGCGTCAAATCATTGTGAAGACGTATATATAACGAGATCGTTCTGAAACTGTTAAGTGCATTAGTCACTCGTCAGAAATGGGAGTACTTTCTTTTTATTCGTTGGTAGTAGCTGTATTTCTCAGTCATATTTGATCTAAGAGTTTGACAAGCAAGTACTATCTGAAAATGCCGTCTGAAGCAAAGTTCTACGCTGGTGTGCTTTATTATTTGCATATAGTTTGGCGTATGTTTGGCCACTCGTGCATAAAAGTTGTGGCTTGAGTGATAGCAGTACAGAAGCTAGATGTTAATGGTAGACGTGAGTAGATGTTCGCAACTTCAAAAGCAACTTGAATATTTCAACGAGGCAAAATCGTGATTATCCACTGTGCACTTCTAATAGCTACATATGGAAAGTCTGTCGCTAGATCCCACTGGGTTGTATTTTTTTGCCGTGCTGATCAGGCGTTTCGTTCGCAACATCTAGATCTTCATCTCGTCAGTAAGATGACGTCCGAAATAACTACGCCAAGACGATGCTTGAGCGTGGAAATGTCTTAATTCACTTTTAAATTCATTTTTTGAGCTCAAGCACTCGAGTCGAAACAAAGAAAACTGCTAAAGTTGCGCACCATCCGTTATTGATCATTTTTATAAATTCTTAAATTTAACCCCCAAAAAATGAATAATATTTTAGAAACATTTTTAATTCTTCAATTTACCCTAAGCATACATTCGGGACCGAGTGGTGTCCCAAATAAACTCACTTAGGAATTTTCACGCTCAATAGAATTTGCTCGTATGTTCTTCCTAGACTATTTTAAATTTTGACTATGAAATTTAAACCATATAATCGCGTGCAAAATGCAATCTAGAAAAGAGCATGAAAGAATATCTGGAATCGTCTGTTCTAATAATGGCCATGTTTGCAAGAACTTCCTTTACAACGAGACGTTCATAACATTTCAGGACGCATTCAGGAGACTGATTGTAAAAAAATGAACATTAAAGATGGAAGTAGAGTTTAAATTATCTATGGCGTGGCTTATGAATTGGGAGCCTAATTTAACCTGCTGATAGCAATTCGTACCGCAGGGTATTGACAATCATAACTACAGTAGTATAGTACCGGTGTTAAGAGAACACTGGACAAGTTTGGCCTGTTACCGATTCTTGGAATGTTCTTGACTTTTGACTCAACTCCTCTGTATGAACCATTATTTTGACGCAAGAAATAGCATTTTGACCACGAGTCCGGCAAAATTAACTCCCAAATCTTTTTCCACTGCCGACTTTTCGATCGCCACTCATTCGTTAAAGTTAAACCATGTCTTCTCGTATTGAAACTTGCTGTTCATTGTTCTTAACGATGTGAAGTACTTAACACTTGCCAATATTAAAACGCAGCTGCCACGTATCAGCTCAGTCAATTAAATTATCAAGTTCATCTAGAAACCGCACGTTTTCGGCGTATTATCCTTCACTTCCTGAAATAAGGTGTCGTCAGCTTACATGGAGCACGCGCTTGCCACTTCTCCCGGCAGATCATAAATGCAACTACTAAAACCGGCCCCAGAACGCTTCCATGTGGCACGGCACTGCGCATTACTAGAAAATCTCTTATCCAATGGAGTACATTTCCCTTTATTGTCAAGGACTGTAATTTGCTTAACAGCCGCCCGTACGGATCATTTTTCAAGTGCCTTGGCAAAATCGTGGTACACTGAATACACTAGAATACACAATCGTGGTACACTGAAAGTAGACAAGAGGTTAGTGGTGCAGGATCAACCGGCAATAAAGCCATGTTGACAGTCCGAAAGGAGATGGTGAACAGTCAAGTGATCGCTAATCCTATTCCTCACAACAGATTCCATTACCTTACAAACAACACTTGTCAGACTGACAGGGCGTATAGTTACCGGGGCTACTCTTGTCACCTTTTTGAACAATGGTGTTACTTGAACTTCTTTTCAATCGGCCGTCAAAGTTTCTTCGTTCGTTTTTTTTTTTTTTTTTGCAATAAAAGTCAGTAAGTAAGAGGGCCGGCCATCACGGTTAGGCCGGTTATTTGAGTAATCTGAGGTGAAAGCCGTCGGGTCCACATGACTTGGTTTCAGCCACCAGGCACATGAGAACCTCTACTTCGTGCATTTTAAAACTAGTTAACTTCAACAGGAATTTAATTTTTACTAGTTAAGTTCACTAGGGTCTAGGAATTGCGATTCAAGCAATCTAGTGACATTAATACTTAGCTAACCTCAAGCCCACTGGATGCACTTCACTAGCTACTGTTCAAGTCCTCATCCGCGAAGGCGCTGCTGAAGAGGTTGCTGAAGAACTGTTCAAAAGCGTTTGTCTTGTCCTCATCCGATATATATTTCGCTGATCTACTTTCAAATCAGAAATACCGGCGTTTTTCTGACACTTCGACTAGCGTACGCAATGACGGCATTTTGGTGCCGTCGGTTTTTTTTACATGAACGTAAATATTCACGTAGAGAGATGGCAGTGGTACCATTTGAAAGAACAGAATTCCAGCTTTAAGATGAGTAGAAAAACCGGAAAAGCCAAAATTGATCGATTTTAGCCAGGTCGATCCCCTTAAATGGGTCAATGACCCACACATGTTCATAGCTTTTGTTCAGGCCAAATGTTCATAGCTTTTGGGGCAGTGTCACTAATTTCTCTGAGTGTAAGATTCGTAATCATGTTTACGATGCCGAACTAGGTTGTATGATTGTTTATTTAAACCCGTGAACAGGCCACATTATTTTAAACTTGATGGCATATCTTGTAAAATTTAATAATTCTAATAAATGGGTATGAAATCATAAGAGTGACTTGAGAAAATTTTTCCGTCTGAAGCCACCCTTAAATAGGCACTATATTAAATAAATATGATTAACATATTAATAGGTTTATTAACTTCTTATTGTATTAGTGTTCTAGACTTATCAAACTGCTGAGGGAGCTGGAAACGTTTTCAATAGAGATATTCTGAATTTTTGAGGAGTTTTCTTCGCTTTAAAATTTCTAGTGAATTTGCGATTCAATCATTCAAGCAATCCTGTGACATTAATACTTAAATAGACCTAATGATGCCACTGCAGTTTCGCATTCTTGAAAATATATTTTTCAATATTTTTTGCTGTGAATGAATTCTTGTGATTCATTAAAAAAATAATAGACGGAACGGTGGGGAAGAACGAAGATAAAAAATGGTGGAAAAACAATGCAAAACTATCTTTAGAAGATTATTATGGATTTCTTGAGAGCAGGCAGCACCACTTGTAGGATATATTGGCTCGAGGAGGATAATGTGCTAGAGCTAGAACGACTATTGCAGGAGGGGTACGTATGAGGTGGGAGTGTTGGCTCCGACAGCGTTGCTCTGAACACAATTCGTTGAACAATATTAATGTAACGCCAGATCTATCAACATCATTAACTAGTGTTTTCCTTTGAGGAAACTATGCAACCTGCATTGCTATTTATTTACCTTATTTACATTACACACTTTATTTATTACTGTTAATATTACATTATTCCATTTACCTTATTCACATTATTAATTTTTCATTGGGCATCGATTACGTCTCACAAAATTCGTCTCATAGTCAACATAATTAACATAGTCGTCAACCGTGAACGCTTTCATAAGTAACGGTTGTTTTGTCAAGCGTAGTTTGTAGTGCTTGCTGGAAAAGCCATAATAGAATATTAGTATTGCATTATAGACTACAAGTATTTTGGTAGAAATTCCAAACGTTTGGTCGCTCATTAATAGTTTCAGCAGATCGCAAGTCCAGTACTCGTGCAAAAAAGTCCTGATCCGAGGTTTGAAACAAGGTTCCGGTTTTAATTTCGTGAAATCATCGGAACTGTGAGTCTGTGTATGGATTTTGAGATGATCCGGAAGTTATTCAGTAAACATGAAAATGTAGTTATTAATGTTTTATTGAACTTCAGTCTGTTCAATGAGACTTCCATAGCGTTCAATGTCACTTTAAGATATATGAAAATAGCAGCGTGTGAAGGTGAACTATTTCAGTCACAGAATTTCAGCCGTGGAATTTGCTTTTGCACTGTCTTCATAAAATTTTTGGAAGACGTTTACTTGTTTCTCCTTTAAATATCCTCATGTGCATATTAAAGAATTTATGCGCTTGTTGCAATTATAACTAGAGACTAATTTTGATTCCCGTCATTGCCACGGGTCGAATAAAGTAAAAGAAATTTCGCAATTAACCTGATTTATTATGATTTCATAAACATTCATTATGATATCTACATGCCATCCGTTACTTGCTTCCAGGCAACATCATAAATGAGGCTCAAGGCGTGTAAGACAGTTCTAGAATTTCGGAAAGTTTTTTTTTTACGTTCAAACCCACAACCGCAGCCAATGGCCGGGCCTACAGCGAGGGCGTGTACTTAGGCCTAAAATGTATTCCACGAGATAAGCAGAGATTTTTTATCTCCGAACCAAATATCGTACGATGGTTCCAAGTAATGCCATTGGCTGATGTGGCTGGACGACTGGACCATGGGAAATCTTAATTTCCAGTTATCTGAAAAAAACCGTGTTAGGTTGTTAGATTTTGCTCACACATAGAAACCAAGTAACGTCAGTTCCCAGCTTCGGTGTAAGCTCAGATAAATTGAATCGTACAAATCAGTCAAAAAATAAATAAATACAAGGATAGGACCTATGATACAAAGATACGAGCTTCGAGTAGATTTCAAATCCATCAGCAACGTAGCTTTAAATTGTCGTTTTCTGGAAATTTGATACAAATTCAGTATGATGCCAATGAGAATAGATTTCGTTTGCAAACAAATGGTATTCATGATTTCAGGGTCGAGTTTTATCGAGATTTACCATTTTAGTAGTAAATTTTTAATTTTTTAGTGTTGCCCTTTATTTTGTTCACTTGATAATCAGTCACTTATTTGATCTGATCAACGATTATAGTAAATTGTTCATGAGCACGATATTTCTCGAACAAAATTTATGTATGCTTAAATACTGTGCACCGGTTTTAGTGCACAAATACATTTTTTGCCTTACTATCAATGTTTATTTCCGGCAAAGATATCATGTTATAACGTAAGCAAAGTGTCTGCCGTCGCGATACCCCGCGCCAATAAAGGAGGCGTCATGCAGGCAGCTCGCCTGAGTCACGCTTGGGCAGCAGCGAGGTGAGGTGGGGTGAGCGGATGCGCACCGAGTGAAGTCACATGCTCGTGAATGATATAACGCTACTGACACATCGACGATAAATTGAAGATATTACGCATCATGACAATTTCGTAAGTTTGTTGCTTTAAGATTTTCCTAAACGGGTTTCTTTAGCGTTATCGCCTTTTATGTCATTGATCAGTACCATCTTCAAACATAAGAAGATCCAAGTGAGATTCATCTACTAATCGCGCTGTTGTATGTTTGTTTGGCGTGGATATAAAACTATTTATGAAATTATCGCAATGTTAGTTTAATATAAATTGATAGCATGTCTAAAGCAATCCTAAACGGTGAGTTCAACGACCGAGTGTAGAGCGAAGAAATAGAGAATTTAAAGATTTTTATTCATCATATTTAGATATCTCATGTCAAAATAATCATAGAATCACTCCAACTTATAATTATTAGAATATAATTTATGCTTCGTTGTGATATTAATCTAGTGGATTAAATCTAGTGTAAATAAATTCGTTGTGAAATAAATATTCTCACTAATCTCAATTTATTTATACATTGTTTCGACATATTAGTACTTCTCAATTCACTATTAATATTATGCATTAAATGACTGTGATTCCTACCAAATAAAAGTCGTTGTATGTCTCTACTGTTGCCAGAGGGGCGGCAGCGGCCGTGTTGCTGGTGTTGCTGCTGAGCAGCTCAGTGATGAGTGTGCCTTGTCTACGCAACCCCAGCGCCTTCATGGCGTCGCTTGCTGACGAAGTTGCTGACGCCACGAAAGATAATAATGCTGACATCGAGCATGCCGTCACGCAAGATAACCGAGATGTTAAACACGACGAATTAAAATCTGAGGTAACACAACGCAAAGACGATGTCATGCTTCCTATTGAAGGAGCTCATTCGTTGTTAGATGTTTATAATTTTTACGAAAGTCAAGCAGCCATGGAAAAATCGTCTTATTCAATAAGCGACATTACATCGAATGTGAACAAATTTATGGAGCTGAATGCTAATGAAGACTCAGCGGAGAACGAAGCTGTGTCGGGGCTGGATGCGCTGAGACGGAAGCAGCAGCTCGCTGAATTCAGCGAACGCATGCGAGCTGACCCGCGCACTTCTATGACGGTGGTAAGTGTAACTGACTGTAATTAATTTCCATGCTCGATCGATAATAATTGACGCTAACTCCTCCGCATAAAAGTTCTAGTGTACGGTGATTCACCCAAAACTAATGTAACACATTCTAGTCAGTGACTATTTTCTAGTCAGTGATTGTGAATTGATGCTCATTATTTTATATACTAAATAACTTTGTTTATTTTTTGCTGTTTCTTCCTAAAAATTGCCGAGGTTCGCTTAATTTCCAAAAATCTTCAGGCAAATGAATTCTTTACGACATTAACCTCCAACTTCCCGTATCGTCAGTGGCAATTCACTTTTTGTATAATTAGTGTACAATAACAGACAATGGAGAACAACTGAAACTATCTAAACGTGCAATCAGAGGCAACTATTGGCTGTTATACTATTGACATCCACGTTCATTTAGAGGAATTCTCATTCTACCAAGCGTAGGTGTATAGCTATAGTATACGTATTTCATCAATGTGTGCCTAATACCTCCTCCTGAGTTTATGCAGAATACATAGCAAGACTTTCGGTTTAATGCCAAGGTTCAGAGTACCTTTCGATTCAATGCAATGCAGCAATGAGTCATGGGTTCAAAACCTGCAGCATGCTGTAAGATTTCTGCTATGTCGTAAATCGGCAACAGGTCAGAATTGGCCCATCCAACTCATCACTATTTTTATTACAGCCGCAACTGATCCGCTACTACGGCTTCGGTGCTGAGGTGCACCACGTGACCACAGCAGACGGATACATCCTCGAGCTGCACCGCCTCCTGNTCACTTGGACTAAGTGGCATAGATAATTTATAGTCACTATTAACTCGTTATTATGAACCAGCAATCACACGCGTGTGCCTCATCACGTGAAATACATTCAATGAGAATGAGAACGAATCTATCAACATAGTATAGTTTTATTGATCTGAGAGTGTGTCTATATCTCCATGTTGCAGCCTCTATATATGGTGCAAAGGTTACCTGAATATTTCTTAGGTAATGATGTCACGTGAGTTGCATATCACACTTTAGAAAACATTTGGCTGCAGTATGTAATGCAAGTCCTAGTTAACTAATTTAGATATAAATATGTAGGTCATTTATTTACAGGCATAGAGTCAGCCCTGGGCAGTGCAGGCCGGTGTTGCTGCAGCACGGTCTGCTAGGGTCGTCCTCAGCCTGGGTGCTCAACGAGCCCTCCAAAGCTCTCGGTAACTCCACCTTACCGCCACTACTTAGCATCATCATTAGCCGTTTAACGATATCGCAAGCTTATCAGATAATGATTACACCGTTAAATTACAAAATAAAATGTAGAGCTTATGACTCGATGGTTAATTTGCGTTGAATCGTGGAATGATATCGTTGGATTATGAGCCAATGATTAGACCATTCAATTGTATGTTGGCAGAGAAAGCTCATGATGCAACTATTAGACCAATAAATTGTATAATGAAATCGTAAGCTTTTGAATTAATGATTAGATTGTTTTTTTTTCCATAAACGAAATCATCCTGGCGTGAGGAGCACTATAAAACTTTTTTTGTGGTTTGCAATGCCTGCATCTGCATCGTCTGTCATTCGCAAGACTCGCTAAAATTCTCTTACATTTATTTATTTACTTTAATGACATTCGTTACTTTTTTTAACATGACCTAACGATTGATTGGTCAGTTTGCTGTCTCATGTTTTGTTATATAGCTACCCTTGCTTCCTGAAAATTTGCAAGAATTCAGCTCCGTATGTTCTTCCCCTGTCACCAGGCTTGGACTTTTCGTTCGTTCGTCTACATTTCTAACTTATAAAGTAACAGACAAAAACTAAATAAATATTAAGGCAGATGGAGAAATGTAATTATAAAATTAGTTATATATTAGCATTGGAGAATCAGTATAGAATAAGTATTCATTTGGGAAAGAATTGGTATTCCTGGCGCGAATATTTGGGCTTATCGGTGCTGGCAAGATTATTATTATCTTAATATTATCTCTGTATTGTCTTGTTATTATATTACATGTAATTGTCTTAATATTATCTTATTATTATATTATTATTGCCTTATAATATGTTAGTAATATTATGGTAGGGTACATCCTTGCGGAGCGTGGCTACGATGTCTGGCTCGGCAACGCGCGCGGCAACACGTACTCGCTGAACCACACGAGACTCGACGTCGCCTCCAGGGAGTTCTGGGACTTTAGGTGCGTCCTGCTGCCTCATATTTCATATCTTGATGTCTTCGTCACCATCTCATCAGTTCTGAGCTGGGAATTTTGGGACTGCTAATTTTACAATTATTTCTTAAATTAACATTCGCATATGTTGCTGATGTTATTGTTTAGTATTTTGATTAAAGTTTAACAAGTTTACTCTATGAAAACGTTCAGTCCCATCATTTGATGTATTTAAATAAGACTATATTGAATTAAATTATTAGCTCGTTAACTGCGTTACTATTCTGTCACTGGACTTGAATCTTACTCGAAATACATCATACAAATAGCCAAAATAATGAAGCATGATTAAAATATATGTAGAAATATATTGGTAATCAATTGGTCAGGAAATTCTTTAAAATGCATGCCGATAGTTGACTCGCATGCACTGTTGTGCGTGAAGAACCTCAGCCTTTTTTTCCCCGATATCTTACGAGCTAATTTTGTTCTTTTCGATGATCTTAGTCAAAATTTTTTCCCTATTGCCATAATTTACTAGCGCTTCCCTCGATAATGTAATAGAAATCTGTGTCGGAAGTAATGCCCTACAACTAATGTGCGCCCGAAATGTAATGTACTGATAGATTTTCTTAATATTTTTTAGTTTCGATGAGATGGGCAAATATGACCTGCCGGCCGTGATTGATTACATCCTGAGAACTACGAAATTCAAGAAGCTTCATTACGTCGGCCACAGCATGGGTGAGCAGTGAAGTGGCAATCTAACGTGTAGTTATTATTCTTCTTGGCTTCTACTCACATTCTTAGTGATGATAATTACTGGGTGGTGATGAAGGTAACATTATGTTAGCAAGAACAATACATCAAAGTTGTATCGAAAGCTCTCACCACCATTTATCTGTAATTTAAAAGATGAAAAATGACATAACTTTCCAAAGAAACAGACGATATTTGGGTCGTATTATCGAAACTCGCTTGACTACACGTAGCGGCCGCTTTATCGTCTGCGATTGGTGTGTTTAGCTTGAAAAGTCTTGAGTGATTGGCTGACGAAACTTGTAACTATTTTCGATATCTCAGCTCAACGTGTAAGAAATTGAGTCCAAACCTTTCAGTCTCGATACATCAGCCTACACTGAGAAAAGAAATGAGTCATACTGTCTAAATAGTGACGCAGGTTCTTACTACACCGAACAGAGAGTGGACGTAGCATGTTCTAGTGTCAAACTGGGTCAGGATGACCCACACATATGCGCAAATAGTGCACCGCTATTTGAATAATTCTCATCCATTTCTGTGAGTTAATGAAGCACGCCTGTTGCCCCCGCAGGCACGACGATGTTCTGGGTGATGTGCCACGAACATCCACAGTTCAGCCGCGACAAGGTGGCCAGCATGAGCGCCCTGGGACCCGTCGCCTTCGTCGAGCACGCCGTCGCCCCCGTCATGTTACTGGCGCCCTTCAACCGTCCTCTTGAGTGGGTGCGTCCCGATACCTGTTGTGTTTACTGTAGCCTTGTCCTATGGATAATTTTCTATAATTTAGTTCCAAGCTAATCGTCTGGGCCAAGAATCAAGCTCGAAACATTCGCTTAACCTTAATTTATTCTTATCTAAGTCGTTTGGGCCGAAAATATAGCTCCAAAAATTAGCTCAGTTACAATTTGGTGTTATGTCACTCGTCCGCGCTATGTATCCATCTTGAAATATTCGCTCAATTATAATTTCGTTTCGTGTCACTCGTCCGAAATAAGTCTTGAGCTCGCAAGACTCGCTGGATTGATATCTGACTTCAGAAGACAATGATAAGAATGCGTTGTGCAGTTTTTGGTTGATGTGCTGCACGAGTACCGCCTCCTGGACCCCGACACCCTGCTGACGAAGCTCCTGACGAGTGCGTGCGGCGTGACCACGCTGGCCGAGATCGTGTGCCGGAACTCCGTCTTCCTGCTCATTGGCTACGACAAAAAAGACCTCGACTTGGTGAGGGCAACGAAAATATTTTAGTAGATCAGAATGTTGAGGGATCAAAGTTTCACACGTTGTATTTATCGTGTAAACTTGAGCTTTGAATTAGAGATTATGAAATGATGGATAGAGCCGCAGAGCTGTGCGTGTTAGTGCAAATAATGAGATATTTTCGAACATGTAGCATAAAGTTTTATGTTTTGACATCAAGAATGAATTTGCGTAACAAACATATCCCTAATTTTTTAAATTGATATTAAAAATAGCTCATAAATACATTATCTGCTGGCTTTAAACGTGCCACAAGCAGTATTAGAACAACAAGAGTGCAGTTGAATGAATTACTTCCATTGTAATACAATCACGAAAACGCGCAGTGAGTTGCGCGTTCAAGACCGCAACAAGTTGTGAATATTCTGCTATGTTAAGAATCGGCGACAGGCCTACGGCCTAATAAACGCTGACACCCTATTATTAATAAGAATTGTCGCTGCAATGTGATGATTTTTACAGAATTGGCTACCGTTGATTCTGTCTCAAATCAACGCCGGGGCGTCAACGCGGACCATCGTCCACTTCGCGCAGAACGCCTATGACGGTGAGAGCCTCGCTGTATACAGTCACAAACATGCATGGCTCATATTGTCCAAATAGTGACACTCGTTCTGCACGTATAGCACTGGTTCCTGCACGTATAGCACTGGTTCGCTGCTTTCCTAGGCAAAACTATGTCAGGATGACCTACACATGCGCAAAATTTCCATCACTATTTGAACAAACTATCACTCATTTCTGTGAGTGTAGTCAGACATGAGCTGTAAAGCGCTCGTCTATGAAGACAATAAATGGCCTCTTGTGCTAGCACGAACCAAATATCCTTTTTCTGCTACAGATCTGAATGTAATAATATTTCGTTATGAATTTTTAATATAATTGTTAATATATTTTAAGTTAATAATGTACAATAATATTATTTTTAAGAATTCCGTTTTTTATTGAGTGGTACATCTCCATGAACCTCTGCTTGCTCAATTATATTTAATCCTGTTGCAAAATATTATTTTATTATCAGAAGCAGACTTTTTAATTAACCTATAAACAGTTTTTCCATAACTCATTCTGTCCTCATGTCGGATTCTATAACTGCTCCATTAATGGTGCGCCTGTATATCAACCCTAATAGATTTTGTGATTATCATTGCGTCATATTTTCGAGATTATTTTGCCGTGATTTTTTCGAGATTATCTTGGCGTTATTTTTTCGAGATTATTTGGGCGTGATTTTTTTTCGAGATTATTTTTGCGTGATTTTTTTCGAGGTTATTTTGGCGTGATTTTTCCGAGATTATTTTTGCGTGATTTTTTGAGGTTATTTGGCGTGATTTTTAATAGATTATTTTTGTGTTACGTGCACAGGTCGCTTCGCGAAGTTCAACTTCCGGTCAGGCAACAAGGGCCGCTACAACCAAAGCGAACCTCCGCTGTACGACCTGAGCAGAGTGACGGTACCCGTGCTGCTCAAGTGGGGCGATAACGACTTCCTGGCCGACCCCATGGTGACTTAGTCTTTAAAATTAGTTATATTAAATTGAAATGAATAATATTATAATTAAATTAGTTATAGTATAGAATAAAATGAGTTATATTATACTTAAATGAGTTATATTAAAATTAAACGAGTTATATTATGATCAAATGAGTTATAGTATATAATTATAGTCTTCGATATAAGGCCAAAACAACGTTATACTCAACGAATAATTGATCGCTGGGGACACAAGTAGAAAAATATTACTGAACGAAGAATTAATCGTTGATTACGCCAAATACTAATTTTATTCTGAGCGAATAAAAGGATCGCTGCCATAGCACAGTAAGAACATTTAAGTGAAATAAAAAAATTTTTCATCTCGGTGCGATATAAGAACCCGAAATAGTGACTGACTTTACCCGACCCGAAATAATGACGATTTACGGAACAAAAAATTTGTCACTGGCAAGACCTTGTTGCTAAAACAAAATTTATATGTTATTACTTTGAGTTGATATTTTCACTCTCATTCATTTTTGTCTTGTCTCCAACATCTGTGTTGTTAAGAATTTAAAAGCAAAGAAAAGTGCCAAAAAATTCACCAATTCTTATGAGAGAAAAGTTCGGAGTCCAGCTCCATCGTCAGTTCAAAACCTACCTCGTAACTCGTAAGAAAGGACAACCTCGCATTAGAAATGGTGAATTTTCTAGCTGTTTTATGTTTCCAAATTCTTGAATAATTTGCATTTTAAGCAATGAAGCGATCTTAATGTGTGCATTGTGATGGCAGGACGTGACGCACCTCAAGAAGAAGCTGACGTCCTGCCCCGTCACCGACTCAGAAGTGACCAACCCTCTCTTCAACCACCTCGACTTCCTCTGGGGACTTGATGCCCTCAAAGTCGTCTACGATGACGTCATCAAGTTCATCCAGAAACACTCTTGACTTTCTCCAGCGGTGACGTCATCAAGTTCATACAGAAACACTCCTGACTTCATCCAGCGATGACGTCATCAAGTTCATACAGAAACACTCCTGACTTCATCCAGCGATGACGTCATCAAGTTCATACAGAAACACTTCTGACTTCCTCCAGCGATGACGTCATCAAGTTCATACAGAAACACTTCTGACTTCATCCAGCGATGATATGAATATTTCATATCGAGCTTAAAATTGATGACTGCACGGATATCTTGTTGTAAAGGAAATTTCATCTTTACATTCATATTAAATCTTATTTTATGATAATAAATCACATCATATTTCTTCAATTGATTACTCAGGTGGCAAACATTGTCGACATTTTCAATTGAAGGCCAAAACCTAGATCTTGCTTTTGTTTTTTTTTTCTTGCTTTGTAATCATATTAAATCATACATAACGATATTATAGCTTATCATATTTTTAAATTGATGACTCAGATGGCCCTTTTAACAGACGTGTTATTTTGAAAACCAGGACTGGAATATTACTGTTCTTATTATTCATAATAATAAGAATATTATTCATAATAATAAGAAATTATTATTCATAATAATTTTGGTCACGAATATGTATAATAAAGTAGATTATTAATATTGTTTTAAAATGTTTAAAGTGACAGCTTCCACTCAACTCTATAACACTCTTGATTTCATCGGTTAGTTAGGAATTTCTGTTCACAAAACAGTAATGTTTGAGTCTCTCCTAGGCTCATTAGGCTTAGACTTGTGCCGCGCTCGCGACAATAACATTGTTTGAGTGGCAGGCTTATATCCTGTTTATTGTTGACTTTACCCTACATAACTTACCCTAGCCTTTTTCAATGTTCTGTATCATATCTTGACCGCTTGACTTTACCCTGCATAACTTACTCTAGCCTTATTCAATGTTGTGTACCATATCTTGACTTTTCCCTGCATAACTTACCCTAGCCTTATTCAATATTCTGTACCATGTTTTGACTTTACCCTATATTTAGCTCACGCACCCTATACTCATTCCATATTATATTCTATATCACGTATTGACTTTACCGTACATAACTTACCATAGACTTGTTCAATGTCATGAACATTTTAGAAGTAGGCTGCGTTCCTATATTAAGGCTCATTATAAAAGTATTTAGATGGTAAATTTAGCCTCTAATGCAAGATTTATTTTCATTGTAGTAGTGTTTAGGTCTAGTACCTACAGGCAACAATTCTATCGACTCTCGAGTACTGGCGCTGTGAGGACCAAAATGCCTTGTATCAAAGCATGTCTATCGTGTTCCATTAAGAAATATAATATTTTCACTCATTAGTTTCTTTACCTTTCGTGCCTGCTTTTGTTATGACTATAATATTGTTTGTAAAAGGTTGTAATATGAAAATATATAATACACAAAGAATGGGAGCAGTCCAGATAGTTCAAATCACTCCGAATCGATTGAATCTAATCGATTTGATTAATCCGAATCGATTTATTAGAATCTTAATTCGATGAACTCATTTCTGGTAGTGAGAACAAAGCCATAATAGCATAGTTCCTCATNTAGTTCCTCATTAGCTACTTCTATAACCTCATTTAAGGACGAAAGTTGAGTCGACGCACGGACTGTTTCTACTAGGTACGCTCATTAAGACAGGTGACGCTGTAACCTTGAGTAATTGAACCGAACTCGCTCAAAGCAACACCGCAAACATGACCTTGAGGAACACTGCAGTTTTGTGTTCGCAAATGATCCACTGTTGTGCAGTTCTCGAGCTTCGCTGTCTTCAAGTGAACGCAGTCGATCCAGCATCTGGCTGACGCACGGCGGCTGGCTGTAGTGGCTGCAGCCTGCAGCAGCCAATTTGAGCCAAAAGCTCTTAGTTGCACTCTGGTCGCTTTAGTGGTAGGGTGTCGTGGTCATATTCTGGAAATGGGGAAATATTTTATATTTTCAGTTTCTACATGTAAATAAGAAGTAGCACCTAATATATACAAGAATGGCCAGGCAAATTAACTAAGGATATTTATTTACTTGATTTTTAAAGTTACTTACATTGTGCCAAATGCCAATTAATTAGCCTATTTAGCAAGTAATCCGATATTATGATCCATATCGGAACGTTAACTTGCTTCTAATTTCTAAAGATGTCAAGTAACTCTCAATTCCATCAAAATCATCACCAGCATCAGCAAATTTGTAGTCAACATAACCAGAAGCAGATGCACCAGAAACAGCAGCAGTTGACCGCTGCAGTTCGAAGAAGTTCTTGTAAGAGCAAAGGCGGTGGCGAATTTGCTCCTGCCACTGCAGGATCTATTCAGGCTATTGATTCTTCAGCGAAGGTAAATAAATTTAGGGCTTTATTACCAAAAATATATTATTGTATAGCTTTTATTAGTTAGTATTTGATGGCTAAGCTTATTGTTTAAAAAATTTTGACCCTAGTTAACGCCTAACGGTGCTTCTATCGTAATTCCAAGTTTACTGAAGTTAGCGCCTGTTGACAAAAAGTAGATTAGAACTACTCGAAGATTAATAAATTGCCTTGCATTTTAATAATGTAAAATTTTAAAATTAAGCCACATCTGAGCTAGCAAGTTTTCCCTCAGTCTTTCTGTAAATTCTCTACCAGCTCTACTGGCCTAATAAATAATCAAACCGTCAACAACACTTGACATAAGTCGTCATTCAGCAAAAACTGCGCGTATCTCGCCACGCGTCACTAAAACCATATGTATACGGTTATGTAGGTACATAAGTAGGATTTGTAGGTTTCGATAACCGCATGATCATTGATGTCTACGAAGAAGTTTTGAACGCGCTAGAAAGATATGCTAAGTTTTGTTTATTAGATGGATCGTTTCTATTGAAACGCGGCGACTTTAGTGATATGGCGACGATATCGGCATTGACGATTAGAACGTTCGGTGGTTTGAGGTTTATGCTATATCAGAATTTTTTTCGTTTATATTCTATCAATATCCAATGCAAGGTGTGTTCGAGGTATGCTAATGTTCGTGCAATTGTCCGTGGACTGATACACGAGCTTGATTGTTAAGGGACTGAGTGCAAATTACATGGAATGATTCAGGCACATTTGTGACATAAGGAAGCAGCAGTCGGCTCCACGTGACTTAACTTGCTTGATCCTTAGTCCCATATCTCACATTCTTACGCTGTCAACACAAATCGACCAACAATCAGCGTGATACAAAGAGTTCGCAATTTATGTCAAAGCTTTGACTAAGTTTATTAAAGTAATTATCCGAAACTTATTGTATTTGTGTATTGTCATTTTAAAGTACTGGTGGAATTTGGAAATCCTCCCCGTAGGTCCTTGCACTAACCTTCCCATTAACGACATGGAAGCTGCACGCGATGTAAGCTGATCCGGCCGTGTCGCGCAGCTGCCTGCCTGCAGGGAACGAGCTGATGATCTGCACGACACTCGCGCGGTCGATAACATCAACTGGTGGCGCGGATGGGTAGCTTGCTGGCTTTCTCCACCTGGAATCGATTCTATTCAATGAAATCCCAAGGGCAGCATTTTGCGGGACAATTTTCGAATTATTAAATGTGAAGGAGTTAATCTTGCGTAGTAATTTCAACGTGTTTTGATCGTAATCATTCATTCTAACTGAACCTCATTGGCGTTAAGTTCACTGTAGGTCTGTAGCCTAAGAAATTTTCCCTTTATAGATTAAAGAAAGGCTTGAATATAGCCATAATTTTTGCACATTTTGCTCAGTCACCAGTTAAAAATTCTCTTGATGTGGAATGTTCTCGACAGAAATGTTGTAGGGTGACTTAGACTACAAAAATTATCCTAATGCTCATGTACTCACCGACGCCTAAAATTTCCTTACATGGAATTATCAGACTGATTAGTTGTAGGAATTATTTAAACGATAGCGGAGCAAGACGAATATTTTTTATCATATTAATGTTAAAATGCATGTTGATAACGCTTTGCAATTTGACTCGATAATCTGTGACAGACTATAACCATGTAGTCGGTTATATAATTTATTGCAATGTTGCAGTGAAGGTCGCGTGTGATGAGGCATGCGTGGTCACGTCTGTGCAGTGCCAACCATCAACCCCGCCTGATGCTTACGCGACTCTAACTTTTGCTAACTTAATAACTGGCAGAGCACAGTTTACTAGATCTCCGTAATGACTGGGATATTTTTGCGGATTATCAGAACTCTGCATCATTCCATCCGAAACGCACACCATTCAACACATTTTTTTTATTAATTTATTACATTTATGCGTTTCCCCCAGTAATTTTTAAAGGTTTTTAATGATCGTGAAAAGTAATGCTTGAATTGTTCATAGAGTGAATAGCATATTTAATTTATCTGATAACTAAACTTGAAAAAGACTAATTTTAGCAAAGTTTATGCGGGCGCAGGCAACAAAGTGGCGTTGGTTGCAAGGATTGCGTCAAATGTGTGCTGCAGTGCTATTGTTGCCTGACATGCCGTCCATTGCGAATTGCGGTTGCTTTCCGCAATCCGGAGCAGGGAAAATTTGGGAGGGGTTTTTAACCTGGCATTCCGCACGATGGTTTCAGGAGCTTTTTGTTTGTGGATTGCGGCGCTGCTCTTTGAGTTTGTGATGAATTTTTTAGGAACGTGAGTTCGTGTCTAGAATGGATAATTTTAGGTTTGTGCTCTTGTTAAGGAGTACCCCCTTTTTTGTCCGTTTTCTATGAATTTCACGTTTTCTATCAATTTTTTCGAAAAAATCACACGAACAAAAATGTCTTAGAATTCTGTTTTACATAAGTGTACCAAGTTTCAGAGTGATCCGTCCATAAACAAAAAAGTTTTTCTGGAGGGTATACCTCCCCCTTAAGGAAAACATAACGACTGAAATTTTCGTTGTTGAACAAGACGCGCAACGAGCCACTCGTAAATGATTTCTTATTTTAATTAAAATCTTTATACCGTCGTTCTAACTATATTACAAAACACGAATTTACACCGTTAAAAACAATTAAAGCACGCAGAGCATTAAAATTTCGTGGTCTTCATGGCGCATAGCAGATCACGTAACTGCAGGAAATTGCCACGTAACAAATGGCGGGGCGGCGCGGCCAATAGGTATAATCGATTCTAGGCCAGGCCGCGCATTTGTCCTACAAC